TACCAGTCTCCGTTGGTCCCATTGGTCCCAGCATCTGTCAGTACCAGTGTCCCTTGGCCTGAGCATCTGTTAGTATCACTGTCCCTTGGTCCCAGTCTCTGCTAGCCACTGGTGAACAAAGGGTCCAAGTCTCTATCAGTATCAGTGTCCCTTGGTCCCATTTGTCCCGGCATCTATCTGTCAGTACCAGTGTCCCCTGGTCGCAGTGTACACCGGTACCAGTGTCCCTTGGTCCCAGTGTACACCGGTACCACTGTCCCCTGGTCCCAGTCTCTGCTAGCCACTAGTAAACACAAAGGGCAGGAACTGCCAGGAAGAATTCCGGTCTTTTTTTTATTATTATTTTTTTGCACTCTTCATCACAGCTCAGAAAGAGCTCATAGAAATGTTCTTCACTCGCTCCGTGTCGGACATTCACACGCAATCTACCACCTCTTTGCCGTCCCTGTCTCTCCATCTCATCTGGCCGTTCACATTCCCCTCCTAAAGTTCCCTAAACCATGAGCTTTAAGTAACCAAACAGGTAAACTCAGTCTAAGTTCAGTCTAAAGACTCTAAGCTCAGTATGTCCTTCAGAGTGGCCTCTAAATGTCCTAACCCGAGGACACTATTCGGTGTGAAGGCAAGGGTCACTTTTCTACAGTTGAAGGAGCGACCAGGGGGGAAGAACTGTGTCACGAACAAGTACAGTTTTTGGAACTTTTTTCACTTTTTCGTCTAAAAGGCTCGAAGTATCAGTTAAGAACTTAGAGAGCCTAGAAACACGTTTGGGGATGAGTTCTCCTCACCTCAGGGCTGGACAAGCAAAACCAACATGATCCGGTGGGGGGCTCCGCTCTTGACTCCTCTTCAGGTCTTCTCCGCTTGTCTCGCGCAAGATGACCGCTGCCGGCATTATCGAGAGAATGGGAGTACTTGCACTCGCCGTCCCTCTCACACTTCCCCTTCCGCACAAAGTCGAAACAGACCCCTTTCGGCAAATCCGCCGCCTTTTCGGCGCCACCTCTCTCATCCACACTCTCTCTCTCTTCTTCCACAGAATGCTTGAACCTGCACTCCTCCCCCCTCTCGCAACTGCCTCGTCGCACAAAGTCGAAACACACCCCCTTCGGCAGGTAGCAATTCTCGTTGTCGCCTTTCACCTTCCCGTCTTTTTCTCTCTCTGCAGCAGAGTGCCTGTACCTGCACGCGCTCCCCCTCGTGCAAGACCCCTTCATAAAGTCGAAGCACATCTTGTCGGGCTCCTTTCCCCTCTCCCCACCTCGCCTGTCCCGCCGCCCGCCGAGGTCAAATCGCCAGTATTGCCCGTCCGGAACATCGGAAGCATCTTCCCCTTGGCCAAACTTCGCCGCACTCTTCTGCGCATTCTTCTGTGCATGATTTTGACTCTCCTCAGCGCTCTTCCGGTCATCCATAATGCCACCGCGGACGAATCCAGGCAACACGAGGCTCGACAGACCGCCTCTGAAAGACATGCCTTCATTTTGATCTGCTATTGATGTCGCCGTGGGCGGGGGAAGAATTGATGGCGGCGGCTCGAGAGGAGATGGAGTCGTATTCTCCGGGCGAATCACGAGGTCCGAAGCAGGGAGGAGCGCAGCAGGCATCAGAGAAAGAGCATGAAGGAATTTCTGTGGTTGACGTGCCCAGCAACCAACCAACCAACCAACCAACCCACCCGCACGAAGTTGTTGTCGGCAACACAGATGATGCCAGGAGATCAAAACAGACGTAACCGTCAGCAAGTCCGGCTACAAAACATGCATCAGCATTCAGTCATCATATAGCCTCTGGTAGTCACAATTATGACTGATAGAGAGAATGCGGAAGAAGATGGAGGAGGGTGGATGTGCCACAATGCGGCTGAAATCAAGGAGAAGAAGATGTGTGTGATGCAACACGGCTGAAAACCCAGAGGATGCAGATAAACCATGATTGCCCAATAGTACGAGATGCAGATGAACATGGCCAAAAAGTACGAGATGAAGTTGAACACACATGAGAAGTACCACGATAGACATAAGGCATGGCCGAAAGAAGTAGATGATTAAAAAGAGGGGCAGAAACATGAACACATGGTGGAAAAGTAGGATATGGAGGCAAACATCATTCACAAAGTAAGAGAGAGAGAGAGAGAGGGAGAGAGAGAGGGAGAGAGAGGGAGAGAGAGAGGGAGAGAGAGAGAGAGAGAGGGAGGGAGGGGGGCATACAATACATGCCTGCTTTGCAGTATTCCCAGCCGGCAAAAGTCCAATGAAGCGCTCAACATGAAGAGAGAGAGAGAGAGAGAGAGAGAGAGAGAGAGAGAGAGAGAGAGAGAGAGAGAGAGAGAGAGAGAGAGAGAGAGAGAGAGAGAGAGAGAGAGAGAGAGNGAGAGAGAGAGGGAGAGAAAGAGAGCGAGAGAGAGAGAGAGAGAATACATACCTGTTTTGTAGTATTCCCGACCGGTGCAAGTCCAATGAAGCGGGTAACATGGAGCTTTCCCTGACTGGAGTATGGTTGTCTTGCGTAGAAGACCCCTTCAGTGCTGGCAATGTGATACCTGAGCCCCAAGGGTCAAAGCACATCAGTTTCCTTTCAGAAGAGGAGAATCTCGGTACCATGCCTTCAACCACCACTCCAATGGCGCCTGCACTTTTCATTGTTCTTGGCTACAAGTACCGGGCCAAACTCTACTGGGCCCAGGCCCCGTAGAGGTTCGGTGGGGAAGTGTACCACAATTATTTTTCCTCACAGTGGCACTGAAAAGCGGAGGGAAGCAGGGGGGGAGGGAATCTACAGTGCCCAGGCCCAGTAGAGGCTCGGTGGGGAGGGGTATCACAATTATTTTTCCTCACGGCGACACTAGATTCTAGGCTCGGGGAAACGCAACTTTTGGTTTGTCCAAAAAAAAAAGGTCCGGACGGAGCGGTGATTTAACATGCCTTCACTTATTGCGTCTTTCTCAAATTGGGTTTCAACCTTCAATTTGCGATTTCCACCAAAAAAAAAAAAAAGATTGACACAAGAGATTTAACAGGGATTCGTAAAATTTTGCAGAAGGGCAAGCTGGCACTAAGGACTTCTTTTTTTACAACTATATCAGGCCATAATTAAAGTCAGATTCAGTCCCAACAGCAATGCCGCCACATGACTCTCGAGGCTCAACTCTACTCGATTCAAGCATGTGAAGAAGAAGCCAAACAGAAGTAAAGCTACCGTCTTCCCCCGAACATAATGCACCCTAAAAATGAATGTATAGAAGCTATATTTCCGGCCAGATGCAGCCAAAATAAGGGTGCGTTGCGTTCGGGGGAAGACGGTAGCTGCAAAGCAGCCTCAGGGCATACTCACACTACCGTCTTCACCCGAAAATAATGTCCGGGCGTTGTATTCAACTTACCCTAAAAAGATCAGATTTTTTTTTTTTTTTAACGGGCCCAATGCCCAAGGCTGATATTACCAATAAGAAGGTTGAGGCCAGGGTCCTAGACTTTAACACCGATGACTCTTCAATTTCAATGACAAAAAATATTAAAGATAAGGAGGATGACTTTAGTCCCCGCTGATCGTAGAAGGAAATGGTACTGTCGTCACCCGAATTCAATGCCCAGTCATTATAGCTGTATCGGGACTGAAAGTCGCTCCGAGTACAACAGCCATAACGAATGGGGGGGTTGTATTCGGGTGAAGACCGTAAACACCAAGGAGTCTTCGATTGAACTGAAGAAAGAAGAAGAGAAGAGTTCAAAACCAGGCAGATATATAATTTAATTAGTGTTAAGTTATTTTTTTGTAATTTTTTTAAATTTTTTGAATTTTTTCTTTCAATATTTTATTATTTTTATTGTTTTTTTCTAACTTTTTTTGGATCCTGAAGTCCAACAGGGCTTGATCTCACAGCTCATTGATGGACACATGCAAAGCGTAAAAATGAATAATTCCATTCAGCAAAGAACAGCAAAACGTTAGACAGAGGGTTCATTCACGGCCAGGCCGCCACCGCACGTGTACTATGTCTGTGCTCTGAGGAACATGCATGTGGCTGCTAAACTGTCTAGGTACAAGTTCAGACAAAAAACTTGAAAATGCACAAAAAAAAAACATTGCAGCCACAGAGACTGAAGCTTCCCATGCTTAGCCTGTCAATTCCAGGCAGGTGTACGTGCCGCCGCCAAACACCCTCCCCCCCCCCAAAAGACCCCTAACGCTCCCAAAAAGACCCCCTTAAACTGCCATTACACGCCCGCCGCAAAAGACCCCTAAAGCTCCCCAAAAGACCCCCTTAAACCGCCAGTACACAGCCCCAACCTTGCATCATTTCTTCATCACCTACTCCAAAAATTCCGGAGCCTTGGGGCTACTGATATATAATGGCTGGCGGCGCCAGCCAAAAAAGAAAAAGAGTGCGCCGCTGGCAGTTCAGCAAAGCTTGGCGTGCAGTGCAGCACCGCCAGGCCCGGGTGTACTGGGCGTTTAAGCCCCCCCCCCTCCTCCCCCAAAAAAAGCCCCCCAAAAGTCCCAAAATGCCGCATCCCACCAGAATTACCCTGCCTTTATAATGTTCTAGGCTTCTAGCATGTGTTGCTAAATGGATGAACACACCATTAGACACCAACCTGCCCTTGATGGTAGAGCTAGTGATTCAGATCCAGATCACTCACCTTGGTTTCACATGCTTCGCAACCACAGCAACCATCTGGCATCCAGCGACAACCGGGTCAATGGTGGATGGCAGGTTCGCCGAATCCGCCCCGATGAGCACACCACGAGGCCACATGTTTGTGTGCACACTAATCTGTCAAGGGGTCATACATATATCCTCTTCTTTTTTTTTTTCTTCTTCTTTTTTCCATATATCCTCTCATACGCTGTTGAATTTCAATTTCAATTTCAATTTGCAATTCCAATTTCAATTTCCATTTCCAATTTCAATTACAATTTGAATTTGAATTTGAATTTGAAGGAGATCGATGCCAAGTGCATGGGACGGGACTGGATGGGATGGGATGGGATGGGATGGGATGGGATGGGATGGAATGAGGATGGTAC